TTGAAAATTGTCCCAACTGGATGTCAGGGTCTCCATAACCATCCAGCGTCACCTCGAGATTCTCCAGGAGAGAGGATGTTTGCAGATGCTCGGAGATGGCATCCAATTCCAACGCATATTCGCTTTGCACCTTCCATCTAAGGGGTGTCAATGATTTTATTTTGCGTGCGGGCGAAATGATCGTACACGACGGTTCGAATGCCCTTCAGGGAATCTAGCGCAGAGGCAAGAAGTCGCTTTAGAACATCAGCAGGAAGATCGGAGACCGAATCGGTCTCTTTAGGCCCAATTCCAGATTCAATCGACAGCGTCTTGGCGTAAGTGGACCACCCTGTCTGGCCAGTTGCAAGGTACTCGAGGAGCGAGATGCCGTCTTCGAGCCGCAGACGCCGACTTTTCAATGAGATTGAAGAGAAGAAGAGCGGGCCAATGGCATAACTGGTCTCCCTGCATACTGCTCGAACATTCTTGTGGTCACTACGCGCCAACTGCAAAGTTTGAGTCGGCGGTAGCGATAAGAGCATGAGTTCACCCACTTTATACCCGATTTCCAGCAGTAGCTCGACAGATAAGTCAAGGAGCATGGCGCACAAAACCAAGATGGAACGAATGACTCCGAGTCGCGGCACCGCCCTGGTCTCCTTGACGACGAACTCTCCCACGGTTTAAATCTATGCTGAAATCAAAAGAAAACAACAGCTGGGTTTTGTTTTGTTCAGTCGTGAGTGACATTCGCCAGGTTTCCAGGAATAGGACCCAAGGGAAACACGATATTCACGGACATTTTTTTCGTGAACGCGGCGGAAGATTTCGAGTCACAACAATTAGGAGTCATGTTCATTCGTTCACGGACCAAGTTGTGGGACTCGACAAGGGTTTGAATTGCGCCGGGGTGAGCAGGCAATTTGAGGAAAAGAAAACCTCCAGAACGACACCCGTATAGACCATTGCTGTGAGATTTCTGGTTAACAGAAGAACAAGTTGCCTGGTCACCGGTTCGAATGGTCAAAAGCCGGAGTTTGTGTCGCACTATTCCCTGGAGCAGGGATGCCTCCCATTAGCCTGAATTCCGCTTGAGCTAAGCCCATAGAGGTTGAATTGCGTTGGGCATATTGAACATGTGTTGATCTTTTTTTTTTTTGTATTGTCTCCTTCGTATTCATGCCGATGCAACTCGCATGACGGTGGTAGACCAAACAAACCAAACATGCAAATGACTTGATTCAGGTAGTTTCTCGCGGACAGACACCTCAACCGATGCCACTCTTACCTGCTTCTTGAGTATTAAGGCACCACCGCCCATTCATTGATCGGTGAATGCATTGTCGTTTGAGGCTCATGGAATCTGAGGTTGGACCTTCAATGCCCCCGATTTTTGATTGCCAACTCTGACAGCTAAGTTCAAAACGATAGACACAAATTGTTTTCGAGCTCAAGTTCAGCTAGCTTCTGCTCCACACTTAACTTTAGTTCGTCCCGGTTTAAAGCTCAGCTCACATGCGAATTCCTTAGCATCAGTGTTAAGTATCTTAGTTTGGTTAGTAGGAATACAATTCCTCGCTCTGCTGCAGTTACAAGGAGATTTGAGGTACACAAACGCAAGTTGAACTTAGCTGGAAGAAACCAGGTTTAAACGTTTTTAGCATTCGGCTGAACGGAGCCGCCGCATCACTCGGCAAGACTTGTTGATCCCAACTCTGCCACGTGGTTGATCTCCGCACCTTTCTCTAAGCCATGATCAGATTCATTCTTGTCCAGGTGCGCCTCTCCTCTGGCCTGACATTGTCCCAGCTCTGAACACTCGCTCTTTGCAGAATCGACAAGGGAAGACAAGACTGGCAAAGTGGTACGTCCCATACGAGGATGAGGAAAAGGTGCGACCCACACAAATCCCCGACATGCTTGCTGAGTTTTAGGTTCGCTTGCGAGGAGAGGTCCATCGAGCCGTAAGCTCCAGGGACCAGAGATTTCAATCCAATTTTGTAGAGGTTCGTGCCAAATGTCACCCTGTGTGGCCGCTGAATGTTTCAATACAGTTCCGAAACTACAAAATTGTCTACCGGCGGTACGCGGGACTCTTCTTCTGCGTCTGCGTCGACGCAAACGACAACGAACTCGCGTATCTGGAGGTCATACACTTTTTCGTCGAAGTCCTAGGTATCTCCTTATGACACAAAGTGGAGGATGGACAGCTAGCTGACAGAATCTGCTCATTAGACAATTATTTTGAAAACGTCAATGAGCTTGACCTGGTCTTCAATTTCTATAAGGTCTATGCCATCCTCGATGAAATATTCCTTGCGGGAGAAATCCAGGAGACCAGTAAGGATGTTGTATTACTGCGCTTAGAAGAGTTGGGGAAGCTGGAGTAAAATGGCACCATGCTCGCAGACACCCTCATTTGTCTTTACTACCCACACACTACATATTATCCATCTAATTCATTTCGCTACAGCCTACCGTATTCCTGTTGTACCCACTCGAGAAGGAACGCGAACAAATAACAGTCGTTCTGGGCATCGGTGATTACCCTTCCGCAACTTGCCTTCCCCTCCATGAGGTGCGCCTCTCCTTCATTGGCCTCCGCAGAGGCTACTTTATCCAGCAAATCCGACATATCCGGAAGCGCAGGGATAAAGTGCTCATGCGGCTGAAACGAATCTCTGAACAATGTTGAGTTGCAATTCACTACCCGTCTGTCGAACCACATACCTTACAACCAAGCACGCCCGACTGCAAGAAACCTGCATGAACATGTGTTGCTGTCGTCGAGGAGGTACTTGTACCCATGCACTGCGCGTATCCCCGGGATCGTGGATGCTGTCCTCGTCGATGATGGCCTCTCGGTCGCATTCCTCAGTGCAGTGCGTTTCTGCCAAATGCATCATATTGACATCGAGCACATCCGAATGATTTCGAGCAAGAATGAGCCTGAACCGCGCGAATGCGCGGAAGTTTTGTCTCCGATGATGTGGCCGCCATCAGAGATCCCGCGCCAGTCCGAAATTGAATCAACATTGGACTCGTTTGGGAAATCGACGACTCCCCACCGTCCCTAATCCCTCGCTCACCATACCTCTCCTCGCTACCCCGTGCCGATATCTCCCTATTTCGCGCCTCCGCACCGACTTCTCCGCGCTTAACGCGCCTCGCGCCTTCCCCGTTGTGTGACGCGTGCGGTGCTGCGTTCGAAACTCGGGCGCATTTCTTACTCCACTGCCCGGCGTGGGAGCACCTCCGACCTCCCCTCCAGCACGCGTCGTACAACGCAGGTCTGCTTGGCGCGGTCGACGTTCGAACTCTCCTGAATCACCCCAAAGTCGCCAAAGCTACTGCACGGTTCATCTCCGATACGAAACGTTATCTCGTGACTTCCCTCTCTTCTCCTCTCTCGTCCTCCGATACCATACTCCACTACTTAATATCATCTCCTCCTGCAAACCACGAACCGATATACCTCATCCTCATCCGCGTTCCTTTCCGCTCTCTTAAATGTTTTCTCTCATCACTCTGATTCCCCTCATGTTTTCTACTTTACTTCGCTCTCTTCACGCCACTAGAAAATAGGTATTCCATTGCGCCCACCATAACTAGTTACATATAAAACCCCCAACTACTTAACGTAGTGTACTGCTGCGTAGCCCTTGGGCCAGATACAGCGTATATAGAAATAATGAAATGGTCGTCGCCAGAGCGACATAATTGGGATTTATTTTCCTTCCATTGAACGTCGTTTGGATAAAGTTGCCGGACCAAGACGAATCTTCATCGAAATACTGCGGGAATGGAGCAAGCTTATATGACGAGCCATCAAAATTCCGAAAAGCAGGGCGAGATCTTGGTTCTCGACAACAGTGGGCAGAGATAGGACCAATGAAAATACATTGGGGATTTTGGCCTCCAGGGACTGATCAGAATCCTGACAAAATCGAGGTCCTGAGCGCGACGGCCGGGTCCGAACCCTGACATCGTGGCAGCGAAGGAAAATATATTCAAATAAATGGTTTGACGGCGCCGGTTTTACTTGGAAACGTGTGTAATTTCCACACAAAACTGCGGCAGCAGGAAGGAATTTATAATAAGTCAGGGCCCCGGCGCTATTTTAAGCGAAAGAAAAAGGCCTGTTCCAAAATTCCTGACATTGCCTGTATCAATCCTGACATTTTTTTCGGCAAACCGGTCCTGACATTTAGGCCAAAAAAAAAAAAACAGGCCTTTACACTATTTTCAATGATCCTGTAGAGATCCACGGTAAAGTCGGTGCTTGAGCCCGAAAGCAGGACTACCAGGTTCAGGGAAACGACGAGGGAAAAAATATTCGACCCATGAGCAACATCATCATTTACGCTCTCCGCAAAGCCAGCCCGGACTTTGCGAAGATCACAACCGGACCCGAATTCTGCGGTGGGATAGGGCGTAATTTCGAAAGCTGCAATTTCGAATGGTGCAGGGAAACAGGTTGTGGACAGGAACAGGCCGGCTCGGGGCGTTTAGTTGATGGCGGAGATTCATGGGCAAGGAACTAAGGATAGCCCGCCGCTGGCATCACGGGAACAATAAGCAATCCAGTGCCACCCACGGGTGAAGATTGCCAATGTATTTCGGCTGTATTGCGAGGTACAAAAGTGTCTTGAGAGTCCCAAACTGAATATTCTTCGGTATTCAGTTGAACGCCCTCTTCCCAAAATGGAGCTCATCGCCGTTAACATAAGATATCATCCAAATGGGGACGCATCCCATCACTTTTTCCCGCCGTCCTCGTTTCTGGTCTCACATAGGTACATACCCACCGCCGCGGCAAAAGACGCAGTGTGCAAAACTAGAGCAAAGTAAAGGGCGCGATCTGATAATCAACCACTGATAAAAATCAGAGAACCAAACGAAAGCTTAGGTTCCAATCGGGGGCCACTGCGGATGATTACTCAGGGGCTGGATGTGAAGGCGTCCCGAAGGCACTGAGAAGTTTTTGTTTGAAGAAAAATTGAACGAAAAAACAAAAGTGGTTCAACCCGGTCTCGAACCGGGGACCTCCTGTGTACAAGCAGCTTGTGAGACAGATGTGATAACCCCTACACCACTGAACCTTCATTGTATTGCATTGTATTGAACTAATAGAACTAAATTGTATTGAACTAATAGAACTAATAGCATCGGCCGGTGCCACCAGTGGGACAGTTGGAGTGCAGTCCCTCCCCAGAAATCACATTGAGAGTCTCAAAGCTTCGCCCTCGTCCTCCCACTTGAAGTCTGGGGTTGGGAGCTGGGAAAAAGTTCAATTATATTCAACTCAGTACTGACACTCAGAAATACATACGTGTGAACGATTGTCTTCACAAAAGTACATGGAGTCTGTTTACGAGACTAACTCAGAAACTGAATACCTGAATGCCAATCTCTTGAAGCAGTTCTGGAGAGAGCTTGAGGCTGCTTGAGGAGCATCTGCGTGCTACTACGAGCAGACTGGCCGTTGTGTGAAAAGCCGTCATGCGTTGGCAGCGATCTACAGCGCTTGCGTGTGCTGAGTCCAAAAAGGCAGGGTGCCCGATTCAGCAGTTTTTGCCGGTCGTCGGTGTGGACGAACTTCGGCAACTTCTTCCCACATCCTTTCAAACGGCCGCAACAATCATCACATCAAGTGTTCCGACCGTTCCGTGCAAGTTCCGTGTTGAACTTTATCCAATAAAGCCAAAATAAAGCAAAATATGTGAAAAGGCTTTCTGAAAGGAGAAGAATCAGCGGCCATTTCCGGGGCCAGATTTCTTTTACACGCGCCTGTGACGACCTTTTCCTCTGAACAACGGCGGACTTTATTCAAACAAAGTGTCAGTCAAGTGTCACTTAGTTAGGGTCGGTGTTTATCCTATTAACAACTCTTTCGAAACTCAAGTTTAAATGGTCTTGTCATTGTAGATTCTCCGGGCAGCCCAAGCCAAGGTTAAAATGTTGCTAGCACGGCTTGCCAGCGGTAGTGGGCAGTCCCCAATGTATTTAGATTGGCTTTTGGGATGGAAAATTTTCGGCAGAGCAACACCCGTTCGATTCGCCACTCAGCCATGGGCCTCTTTCTCGAGCAGTTTTCTTTTTCAGTTTCAGTGCCGGCCGATTCGATAACTTTTTGCAGAAACCATCATAGGGATGGTCCCACATGCGTCTCATAAGAGTGCGGTAGGTAGAGCAAGCATAGGTTGTGTTCATATTTTTTCAATGTCAGTTGAAGTTCAAAACTCTGGCACATGCTCACGCTCGAGGGTTTAGTGCTTGGGGAAGGCTTGGTAGTGAAATCTGCATCTGCCCACGCCGAGATGAACTTCCTTATCAAATGTAATACAGAGATACCCGTTCGATCTGGGACCAAGCCCTTTCTACTACTCTTGGAACATCTTTTTTTGGTTTTCAAAGTCAGTTCTAGCTTGAAAACTCCTCATAAATTCGTAAGCTAAAAAAAATATAGGAAGGCCTGGTAACGAGAGGTTCGCATCTGCTTTCCGTCGAGATGACGAATTCGCGTAGAAGGCAGAAACCGGCTGTTCGATTCGGGTCTTCTGCCACTACAATTTTTGAATCAATATTAGTCTCTTTTTCTCAGCCTCACACGCCTGAATCGGCCTGCACCTGCAATCACTTCACGCACAGTGGATCGGTGAAGTGCGACGAAGACCCCTAACTCGGCGCGGAGCAGCGCGCGTTATTTGTCCCTGTGTAGCAGCGGCACGTGTTCACTCGATTCCGCCTTCTGCTTCCGCCCATCTCCCAAATCCACCGCCCTTGATTTCCCGATTCATTTTCTGCCCGTTATATTTGAAATCTACAAAAATGGGCTCCAGCCAACCCACGCTCTTCACCACAGAAACCGCCGCAGTCATAACGGCTGGCATCGTCGCCGCCGGGTACTTCACTTCGGGCTCAGACTCTTGCTCGAGTGTTGCGGATAGACGGAGGCGTTTGCGCAGAAGAAGCGGAGAAAAAACTACCTATGCTGCCTCAGCGACTGCTCCGCCCTTGGGGGCCTCGAGGGCGGAGCAACAGACCAATGCAGATGCATGTACCGAACTCATGCGAGTCTGCGACATCTTTTCGCATCCCTCGACCCAGTTTTGTACTACGTCCAGCGAACTTGAGGTATCTTATATTCACAACGTACTGGCACACTCCCTCGGAACCCGGCCTCAAGTGACAATTCGAATTGAAAGTCCCAGTGGCAACACTGCTGCGCATCGAACGGCATCGAAGTGCTGCAAAGGACCTTGTTACGGCTAAGGGTTACTTCAGTACGTCGAAGCCGAGGTCTCGTCTGGGCTGAAGAGGGAACCGACGTCAATGTGCGAGCAGAAGACATAACGAGGGTGATGCCGCCCGTACGCACGGACGATCTTGTAACCTGCCATTGCCCTGGACGCAACGGTGGCAGCGGAGCGCAGTCGCAGCAAATGTCGCAGCGCGTACTGAGCGCGGCCCCACAGGTCATTTATGACAGAACCTGCCGAGTGTCGTGCTCTTCGCCCTCAGCCCCATCCTCCTACTTATGTATCGCTGCTCTACCCCGGCGACGCCCACCTGGGAGTGAGCCCAACGACACGGACTTGCCTCAATGTCCGAACGCGCTAGGGGGGAGGGGCGATGGAGGAGCGAAAATCGTCCGCATTCTGCACCCGTCCTTCATTACAGCGGCAGAGACACAATGGCCGGGCGAGAAACTGTTCTTTGCGGGACCGGTCGAAGTGTGGGGTGGCGTTGGTGGCGTCCTCTTAATTGTGGCGAGTCTTCTCCGCCGACCATTCCCCGCGCCTCTGTCTTTAATGGAGTGGGAAACGTCGCTCCCGCTCGATTACGGGGCCACATCGAATTTACTGCTCGCACATTGCCGACCTCGCCCGGCCGATCCCTTGGTACCAACGGTGGTTTCTTCCTTCCGCCTGCGATTCAATGGTGAGCCCTCCTTGCTATTGACCACGCAGACGGCTGACGGAAGTGACCACTAACATGATTTTCGGGTGCAAAACTACCCGTCGACGTTATTCTCCTCAGGTCGACTGGCTAATTTATCACTCGTTGGCGTGCTCAATCTCGTACATTCTACATGGAGCGTTTTTCTACCAACGAGACCTCTCCACCACTTGTGTCCGCTCCGTCGCCAACTTTGCCCCTGCTATGTCAGCGGTGGTTTCTCCCGACTGTGTCCTCGTCTCTATTGTCCCCGCAGACGGCTGATACCAGATTTTCGAGGTTAAACTTGGTCGACGTTGCTCGTCAGGACGTATTGGCTAACCTGTCGCTTTAGTTATCGACCTCATGCATTTTACAGTCAAACGCAGGATCTTCCAACAGGAGCGTTTTGACCAACGAGACCTCTCCACTTAGAACCGTTTCTCCGTGAATTGGATTTCTCCGCACCCCTGGTTGCCAAGCTGTGAAAAAAGTTGGCCTGAGGTCCAGACTCCAGGACTCGTTCGTTTCACCCCACCGGCCGGCGGGCTTCCCGTAGCGACCGAGCTGCCGATTTATTCTTAGGACTCCGCTCCTTCTGCAGCCGGCCGAAAGTGGACATATCTGCGTATCAGGCCCTCAGGCCCTTTGACAGGCTCGGAGCACCCTCCTGGCCAGGCCCAGTCTCAACCGACGGGCGACCGTAATAATTATCTCACACTTCACTATAGAAATTCGATCGTACCAAATTCGCCGATTCAAAGTTCTTCGGGCTTCCCGTTTGAAGACAGGGATACACTGTCGTTGTGATGTTCGATCATTGACAGTGATATTGACCCTGCGTGTAGCAGCTCGGTATCTTTTCTTTTTCTTGGTGAGCATCGCCTTCCTTCTGCACGCCGTTTGACACCCTGTCCCAATGAATATATTGGCTATGACCTGTGTGTACCCCCCGTGTCGAGCTGTCTGCTGGGAAGTCAAGTGCTCAATTTATTCTGCCGTTCATATCAGAACACCGTCCTATCGATGCATGCTTATCCAGAATTATGGCGTGGTCAATCTACCATAGGCAGTATAAAAATTGGACTCCCGACTATTTCTCCAAGTCTTAACCCGCACGCCCTTAGCGACCCTTCCGACGGGTGAGAATTCCATATCTTTTTAGTTCCACGATGTGGCCCTTGTGATCTCCAACAGGGTAGGAGGCATAGTCGAGGCTATCTCCGAAATGTGTCATTGGTCATGTCCGGTTCACCAGGGCCAGTACTAGTAATGCTTACGACTCTGCAGCACAAATCATTTATGTGCCATGACCCATTCGCTCAATGTGCATGTCCTCCCGAGCTGGCTGGGCTTTTCGTACTGTACTATTCTGGGTACTTATCACGGAATACATTCTCTCTCGCTGAAATTCGGCAATCTGCGACTGGGATCTGCTCCATCTCCTAATGGAGTGACTGGTGACCTCGCAGCACCCTCCACGCCGTGAACGGCGAATTCTTTGAGCGCCCGCCATTGAATCGTGGTGGAATAATTTGCCTTCGGGGACCTGACGATCACTCAACAGGATAACCGATGCTCGGATGTAAGCACACCGCACCACACTTCCCCGTCCTCCCTGAGTGCATACTGGTCGAGAATACATGGCAAATTCGCGATCGGCTAGCCTTAATTAGCTTTCGTGACCTAATGTCTCCAATCTGTGATAATTAATCGATTCTAACCATTGTTCTTACTCTCAGACATTCCTTCTTCTCTTCCTCGTCTACTTATTGTGCAGGAGAATAACGGTCTCCGCTAAGTGCGGCAGCAGAAGCCCATATACCGTTAATTTCCGATTTGCCGCATGATGGATAAAATTAATCTTACACCAGATTTATAGAGGTACTCCTGCTGTGCTGTACTGAAATTTCCCGGATCATTGAACCCATTTGCAGTAATTTCTACACGACAAATGCGCGCGCGGTGTACGGAATGCTGAGTTCTCTCGTGGAACTGGCGACAACGCCGCCATTGTAGTGTGCTTCTCCCTACCTAAGACCGCTGTTTATCGAGTCGCAGGTTCCCGGTGCCTCTCTCGCGGCAGCAGCCATGTTGCAAGGTTCACAGGAGCCAGGCTAAATTTTGTATCTGGTAAAAGCAATTTATCTGCCCCGAACGG